ATCCTGTGAAGACAACATCCCGCGCCCCTGGGAATGTGGAAGACACCGGGCCCTATCATACACCCGGCGCAATGCGACGCCAGGCAAATTGTTTTCTGCTAGTTTCAGCCTGACGCAGTTATCATTTTCATGTCCTTCGCCACGTTGTTTAAATAGCAAATGCATGTACGCCCATTTGTACGCCCATGGGCTGCTGGTCTGAAAACGAGGTGTGTTCGGGCACATTGTTGGCACATTGCCATTTTGAGGTAACTGAAATAGACTGCGCAATTGACCAACTGAAACCTGGTCTAAAGTCAATAGCGGAATATTTTTTTATATTTATAGAGCACGTTAGTAACATGCGCCTATAAGCGGCTCCACAACACGCGTACACTGCTTATTACACACACAGGGATGCGCAGTAGCACACAAACATTTTTAAATATGAAAAATAAAAGGATTACAATGTAAAAGATTATTATTGTGTACATAAAGATATGGTGGAATCCGGCTTGTTCCGTGGATGGTCTGCTTGCGCGCTTTAACCTCGTGCACGAGCAGATACGTTTCCTCTCTGGAGAAGCGTTCAGTCTTTCCACTTGCAAATTCCGTCATGCAAACAGCGAATCCGCCATGGCGTGAGCACAACTGGCTTTTAAAGGGAAGGGGAGATGAGACTCTGATTGGTTTATTGCACGTAAAGCCCAAAACACACCCATTACTCATTTAGAGAATTCGGACAACCCTTTTAGACCATGTGCCGGGCATGCCGACCATTTTTCCTGTCGTTAAACTAGCAAAAGTGGATTCGGATCAGAGTTCATGGTGTGATAAAAATGTCCTAAAATTGAATATGAAGAGGAGAAGAAGACCAAGGTCTTCTTGATTTTAGAATAAATAAAGAAGAGAAACTTCCTACCAGTGACAATTAAAGGTCAGAAGAGGCTTTTTTTTTAAGGAGGCACAATTAAAATTGTTCTTTTTGAGGAAGTTGAGTAACATTTGCATTAGTTTCTTTATGCTTCTATCAGGGAATCCAACCTTATTTATGTCTTCTATCAGGGAATCATGGTCAATAGTTTTGTTTTATGCAATGCTCTGCTGGGGATATCACTGCAGATTACAAAAATAGGATTAATAAATTGATTACAAAGGCTGTTTCCGTTATTGGCCTTACTCCTGATTCACTTGAGGTTATTGTGGAAAAGAGAACAAAGGCAAAATTAAAAATGATTCTGTCTTTTGAAGGTCATCCACTACACAGTATTTTTGGTGGACTTAAAAGTTAATTTAGTGGAAGATTAGTGCATCACTAATCTTCCACTAAATTAACTTTTAAGTCCACCAAAAATACTTTGTAGTGGATGACCCAGTCAGTGTTCTACAGAGCGAATTTGAAGGTATTTTATTCCTACTGTTTTTCTACTTCTTGTTAGTTAGTTAATCGTAATATTGCATACTCATTTGTTCCTGTAGTTATTCATTAATTACAGATTATATATATATATATATATATATATATATATATATATATATACTGGTTTGTCCTATATGACTGCCCTGGATGTCCCAAATAAGCATTTAAATAAGACACACAACCTGTAGAATTTGTTAGGGGGGTAAATGTGAGTAAAGCATAAATGTGGCTGCAATCTAACCATTATATGCCTATTACAGAACCGAAAGCTATGGGTGGACAACAGGAAGGTTTCCCAAGAGGCTTTGTCACACAGATAACCAACTGTCCACATTTTTTTTCTGTGTCAACATTTCCGTGCATATTACGTCATCGCAAACGTGCACGGCTCATGATAGAAAACAGAACGCGGGTCAATATTGTGTTTATTATTAATTCGCTGCTATTATGCGCAGTTGAGTGAACAATACAGGTTTACTGTGCGTGTGTCACATAAGGTGGCCTTCTGCTGCTTGCAAACGGACTCTTTTGAGGAGACAGTGGATTTCCAAATTTGTTGCCCTGATTTCACGCGCAATGCACAAATACACTGCAGGCTCACACTCGCTCGTATCCAAGGTATTATCAACACTATCATCCCTTACAAGTGTTTTATTTAACTGAATACATCACAATAAGCCAAAACGCAGGTCACTTTACTTCCTGAACAAGTGCGCACCCGAGTCCGTGCTGCTTTTATATTCACACGAACCGCGGCACGGTTCGGGAGCAACCGAACTCAGACCACCTCCTCCAGGTAGTCTCGGGTTCGGTACCCCAGTGTGCACCCGGGTCCCATGACAGCGTTCACATTAGCAATTTTTCATGCGAACCGTGCCCCTTTCCGAACTAAACTGCCAGTGTGAAAGCCCCCTCAGGCTTTTTGTATGGCTTTCAGTTTTCATAGTAATAAAGTAAAAATACTAAAAAAGACCTGAATTTGACAAAGCTTTGTAGTTCTTCTAATGTTATGTTTTGCTTTCCTTGTAGGAGTCAATGGACCTGGTGTGGTACATGATTTTTGGCATGTGTGCCATGAATGCTGTTGCCTCTGCATGTCCAGAGAATTGCCAGTGTAAGCCAAACAAAATCATTTGTCAAGGCTTTTTACTAAACAAATTTCCAACCTCCATCCCCCCAACCACCAGTAACCTCTTAATCACCAACACCAGCATACAATCATTAAAACCAGCTGATTTTGTGACTTTCGCTGAGAACCTTGCTTTTTTTGTAGCCAAGGATTCAAGAATAGCTGAGGTGGAACCTCATACATTTGACCAAACCCACAATCTCATTGCCTTAGGTTTCAGTGGGACAATGCTAACCTCTCTGCCAAAAGATCTGTTTCAGAATCTACACACATTATCAACTTTAACGCTCAGTAACAACAAAATAGATGTTCTGCAACCGTCTCTTCTCAGCCCTCTTGTAAATTTGTACAAACTAGACCTAAACAGAAACCTTCTAACCTCTCTGCCAGAAGATGCTTTTCAGGGTAAAAAAAAGCTGGAACAGCTCATGTTGCAAAGGAACTCAATCAGGAAGCTTTCCAGCAGTACTTTTCGAGGACTCAATAATCTCAGAGCCCTGTTCCTCCAGCAAAATCAGTTAACAGAAATACCAGCAGGCATCTTTGATGACTTGGTAAACCTTGAGGTATTACATCTTCAAGACAACAAAATCAAACAGCTACCAGAAAATATTTTCTCAAACTTGCAGAAGCTGAAGAAACTCTACCTCTCCAACAATAGGTTATCATTGCTTCCCAGTGCAATATTTTTTAACCTACCTAACCTTACTCAGCTATCACTGTACGAGAACCAACTCAGTAGGTTAATGCCTGGAACTTTTGGTCCAATGGCCCTCCTGGAGCTCTGGCTATACGACAACTTGTTAACCCACCTTGAGGAAAATGTGTTCAGCAACTTAACTGAGATTCGCCTTTTGGTGCTCAGTCGGAACCGGATTCAGCACATCTCTCCTGGCGCTTTCAATGGCTTGATGGAGCTAGAGGAGATCTCTCTTCACACTAATCGATTAATCAGTATTGAGGCGGGGATATTCAAAGGCCTTCCCAAGTTAGCTAACATATCCATGGAGAATAATCAAATACAGCACATACCCATAAAACTCTTGGAGAGTGTGTCTCGCTTAAATCTCCTGGAGCTTCAAAACAATTCTCTTCCAAACTTACCAAAAGAATTTCTAAACTCATTGTCTATAGTTGATAATATTATACTTTTCCAAAATCCTTGGAGGTGTGACAATGATATACTCCCTTTTCGGGATTGGCTTGGACAATATTCAGAGAAAGTGAAAAACCTTACTTTTGTGACTTGTGATACTCCTTTATCCCTGAATGGTAGAAATGTAAGAGAGCTTATGGAGGATGACATCATGGTCAACCATTCACTGCACACTTTCCCAACCAAAATGACCTCTGCACCAGCTTCAGACCCCACAACAGTCTCAGAAGAAATAGAGGGCACAAGTGGAGGTGATTCTATGGGTCAAGGTCTATCCAAAGACAAAATCATTATCATTGTAGCCATTGTCTGCACTGCTGTCATTGTCAGTCTCATTGCCTGTGTGTTATGGAGGAGGAACAAGCGAGGCAGTCAAGACTTGAACCGTCATAGAAAGACCAACTCGGTTATCTAAAATTACATAAAAGCTTCCATAAACTATAGGCTGATTGTTGTGTTTCAAATTACTCTTTTTACATTCTTCAGTGGACTTATGGAGGACAAATGTTTTCTATTAATAGACATGGGTTGCCTATTAAAATAAATGTGTTGTTTTCTTTCTTTCTTGATACATACTAAAACATTTTTTTTATTACAATTAAAAAACTACAAAGTTGTGTTAACTACCTTTTTTTATGAAAAAAAAACTCTGATAACCCTCATGAGTGATGTCACACATGAAGAACTGTACTGTATTTCCTTTCTTGTCACTGTCCTGGTTACACTTTCTGCAATTCTGTTTTTTTTTCTCATAGCAAAAAAAAAGGAAGATAATTTCAAAGTTGTAAATAAAACAAAGATTATTGGAGCACTATTTCAGTCTTTATTTCAATGTGTTACTTGCCATTTCTTTGCAATTGATTGTTTACAAGCAATTTATGAGTGAAACTAAACACATGACTATGTTTTGCCAATATTATTTTCCATTCTATGTATATGATGTATCCATTAACAATTTGATATTATGAGACCAACAAGTAGTTTAGTATTTAAAATGTTTTCCTTATGTTCCCATCTAAGAAATTCTACTGTTATTAGGGGACTGTTATCTATATTTCAACTTTGCAGAGACATATTCATGCTTAAATATATAAAGGAATAAGAAATTGAACAGTCTAAAAATGCCCACAAAATGATAAAGATAAGAAATAAGATTTTAAAAAAGACGACAGAAGAGAATTAAATAAACTGAGAAATGTCTAAATAATTGTATTTTGAGATATCTTTTGAAAGTGAATTGGATGGTTCCCATTTCTTATCTCTTCAAACAGAAAACGAACTGCCCACACCCTTTCTGCTGCCTTATAGTCATGCAGTAAACACTTGGGATATGTAGATAAGAGTAGAGCAACACATATTTTTATATTTGCTTCTGGGAACACATTCGGAAAAGTAATTCAGCTACAACAGAGATGAGCAGGTTAGTGTAATTATTTTCCATTTAATGAGACAAATACAGGTCAGGAATATAACAGCAAAAAAAAAAACATATATATACTCTGAAAAAATAAAATGTCTCCTCTCCTTCACAATACTGAAAACTGGCACAGTATCGTGAAGGAGAGGAAACATTTTATTTTTTCAGACTATAATTTTATTTGTATGCATTATGTATAAATAAAACAAATTATACAAATAATTTTGATTTGGTGTAAATTCAGTGACTTGTACCAGGCACGCAACGCAGTAAGAGATTTATTTATGGATTTATTTGTTTGTTTGTTTGTTTAATTATTATTTTTTATTTATTTGTTTATTTCAAATGGATGGTTCTCCCAAAAATGATGTCATCATTATTTACTCAACCTCAAGTTGTTCTAAACATGCATGAGGTTATTTCTTCTGTTGAACACAAAGGAAGATATTATGATGAAATTTGGTAACCAAACATTTGCTGACTTCCACAGTATAGAAATAAAAAATACTATAGAAGTCAATTAGGGGACCAGAAACAGTAGGCTTACCCACATTCTTGAAAATATTATTTTTTTTGTGTTCCACACAATAAATAAATAAATACAGGTTTGGTAAATAATGACAGAATTTAAATGACCTTACCACGCAACTTAACTTGCAATGGAGTTTGTACTTGTCTTCTGTGAACAGTAAGCCCTGTCTTCTTTGATTTGATTAGCCATCTCAATCATTCACTGATGACCACTGTAAGACAGCTGAGGCAGAGCAGCCTAAAAATTTTATTTTTAACACTTTTTGTCACCTTAACAACAAAGAGAGTGGTGCATAATAAAGTGCAGCAGAGCAGCATTAATAACCAAATCAGATCAAAAGAATCAAATATTGGGCGAGCCAATGTGGCTGTTTCTAATTATTAAGGGGGACTTGTCCCCCTCAGTGTCTATGTGTCCCTGAGTCATGGGAACATCATTTATCTTCATTCAGGCTATACAGGTTGCTTTGTATGGCTTTGGACTAAAAACTAAATTTGCTGTTAATGTTTTGTTCTTCAACAGGCATATCCATTTAAAAAGTGCACTAGTATTCATTTACATACTTGTGCACTTGCAGTGGAGCTGCACTGTAGATATATGTCTACCAGATGAAGACTGCAAAAATAAAGACGTGTATGACAAAACTGTGACAGCAATACCCGAAAAATTTAAAGATGGAGCCAATGAAATATTTTTTGTAAACAGTCAGATTCCTGTCATACCGAAAGGAGCTCTTTCTAAAAACCCTCAAATAAAGAAAATCGAATTTCTCGGTACTTCAACTACATCCGTAGAGGTCGGAGCCTTTGAGGGTTTGCCTGATATCACAATCATCGAGATATCTGGCACAAATGTGACATCATTACCTGTGGGTGTTTTTAAGGATCTCGGAAACCTTGAAAAACTTGTTCTAAAAAATAACAGAATTCATAGCCTTAAAAATTGCTTATTTGATTATTTAAAAAAGCTTCAAGAACTAAGTCTACATGTGAATGAGATTAGCTCTATTGAGGAGGGGACATTTGACAGTTTAGATAATCTCAAACTTCTTCATCTTGCAAGAAACAACCTTACGTCTGTATCAACATCTCTTTTTTCCAAACTTAAGAACTTGCGAATTTTCAGGCTTTATGAGAACCAGCTGACCTCTATGCCTGATGGGATTTTTGAGAATCTCCCTGATCTGACAGAGATAGCCTTGCAAGGCAACAGAATCTCATTTATAAAATCTGATTTGTTTCCACACAAAAGTAAATTATCCAAACTATTTTTGGACCACAATCTTTTGACTGAACTGCAGCAAGATCTTTTTGTTGGTTTCTCTTCATTAAAGACTCTAACTCTGCATAACAATCAACTCATACGTCTTCCCACTGTCCTTTTTGGAGAAATGTCTAAAATGACTGAACTGAGTCTAAGCCATAACAATCTCACTGACTTACCACAAGGAGTTTTCAGCCCACTTAAGAAGCTCAAGAAGTTAGACCTTTCATCAAACCAGTTTTCAATGATATCTGGAGACTTTTTTGAAGGTCTTGAGAAACTGATTGAACTGAATCTTCAAAATAACAATTTAAAGTCATTACAACAAAAGAACTTTGAAAAACTTCAGTCTCTTTCAACACTTAAACTGGGAAATAATCAACTACAAAGCCTCCCTGGAGACGTTTTGGATGCTCTTCCAAAACTCAATAAACTATACCTTTACAAGAACCCATGGCAGTGTGACTGTAACCTTTTGCCATTCTTTAAATGGATAAAGAACAATGAAGACAAGATTAAATCAAAACCTTCTGATGTCTGTGAGTCCCCAAAAGACCTGGAAAATCAATCAATATCCTCTTTAACAGAACAGCAATTAATATGCCTCACAACTTTACCAACTACCACCACTGTCCTTACAAGTACTGTTCCCATGACCACACTGCACACCACAGGTGTCTCAACAATAAAGTTAACCTCGACAACAGCAGCGCCTACAACAACTACTGCTTTACAAACAACAACCACACCTACTCCAACAACAATTCCAGTAACAACTCAAACAACTACAACAACACAGGCAACCACACAAGTCATGACCACAACACCAACTACTCAACTCACAACTTTGCTTCCAACCACAACCGCTACAACTACAGCTCTGAGGACTACATCAGTCCCCACCACGGTATCAACAACTACGCTTCAACCAACAACTGCCCCCTTGACAACTACATCAGTTCTCACCACCACATCTATAACCACAGTACCACCAACAACTGCCCATATGACAACTATACCAGAGCACGCCACCACATTTATAACCACAGTACCACCAACAACTGCCCATCTGACAACTACACCAGAGCTCGCCACCACAATTATAACCACAGTACCACCAACAACTGCCCATCTGACAACTACACCAGAGCTCGCCACCACAATTATAACCACAGTACCACCAACAACTGCCCATCTGACAACTACACCAGAGCACGCCACCACATTTATAACCACAGTACCACCAACAACTGCCCATCTGACAACTACACCAGAGCTCGCCACCACATTTATAACCACAGTGCCACCAACAACTGCCCATTTGATGACTACATTGATTCCCACCACATCAACATCGACAGTTCAAACAACAATTCCAACAACTTCAGCAACTACAACTATATTAATCCCCACCACTATTACAAGTCAAAAAACAACAGCCAGCAGTTTACCACCCAGCACGACTACAAGGACAACAGAAACTTTTCTCACCACGCATAGCAGTTTCATCTGTACTGGCTCTCCTCAACCTACTCTCTCAAGACCTACTCCCACCCACAAGTACTCATCATGCGAGGAACGGATGATATATTACACTACAATGCTGCTGGTGGAAATCTGCTGTACTGTGGTGCTGGCCAAATTATCTTATTCACTATACTGTTCTCTGGAGCAAAGAGAGAGACTGCACACCCAGGTCAACCTGACTCACTTCTCCTATACTAAGTCCATTATACTCAGACCAGTCGACGAGACAGAGACTATTGCTCTGTGATTTTTTTAACTTTGAGTAGCAATGAGTTTCCAAACAGCATCTATCATTGAAGCTGAAGACATAATCATTTCTTTATTGCCATTATTTAACATCAGGCTTTTCAGACAAGGTAGTTAGTAAAGTAAAGTTATATTAAGTAAAGTAGTAGTTAAAAAAAGTAAAGTAGTAGTTACATGGTCAGTGTTAAAAATATGGCAGATTATTTTTAGGTTTCAGATGTTTGGACTCTATGGTACAAGAAGGCACTTTCTTAGAAAGAGTTTGTGTGTGAGTGTGTGTGTGTGTGTGCGTGTGTGTATGTATTAGAGAGCAAAAGAAAGCTATTTTGACAAGATTCTTTTGAGGTAGCTTAAAAACAAAAGGCTAAATAAAAAGAGGTACAATATAGGCCTGATTGGCTGAATGTAAACTTACAGTAATTGCATTAAATACAAATATTTGTCTAGATGTACACTCACCTAAAGGATTATTAGGAACACCATACTAATACTGTGTTTGACCCCCTTTCGCCTTCAGAACTGCCTTAATTCTACGTGGCATTGATTCAACAAGGTGCTGAAAGCATTCTTTAGAAATGTTGGCCCATATTGATAGGATAGCATCTTGCAATTGATGGAGATTTGTGGGATGCACATCCAGGGCACGAAGCTCCCATTCCACCACATCCCAAAGATGCTCTTTTGGGTTGAGATCTGGTGACTGTGGGGGCCATTTTAGTACAGTGAACTCATTGTCATGTCCAAGAAACCAATTTGAAATGATTCAAGCTTTGTGACATGGTGCATTATCCTGCTGGAAGTAGCCATCAGAGGATGGGTACATGGTGGCCATAAAGGGATGGACATGGTCAGAAACAATGCTCAGGTAGGCCGTGGCATTTAAACAATGCCCAATTGGCACTAAGGGGCCTAAAGTGTGCCAAGAAAACATTCCCCACACCATTACACCACCACCACCACCAGCCTGCACAGTGGTAACAAGGCATGATGGATCCATGTTCTCATTCTGTTTATGCCAAATTCTGACTCTTCCATCTGAATGTCTCAACAGAAATCGAGGCTCATCAGACCAGGCAACATTTTTCCAGTCTTCAACTGTCCAATTTTGGTGAGCTCTTGCAAATTGTAGCCTCTTTTTCCTATTTGTAGTGGAGATGAGTGGTACCCGGTGGGACTTCTGCTGTTGTAGCCCATCCGCCTCAAGGTTGTGCATGTTGTGGCTTCACAAATGCTTTGCTGCATACCTTGGTTGTAACGAGTGGTTATTTCAGTCAAAGTTGCTCTTCTTGAATCAGTCGGCCCATTCTCCTCTGACCTCTAGCATCAACAAGGCTTTTTCGCCCACAGGACTGCCGCATTCTGGATGTTTTTCCCTTTTCACACCATTCTTTGTAAACCCTATGGTTGTGCGTGAAAATCCCAGTAACTGAGCAGATTGTGAAATACTCAGACCGGCCCGTCTGGCACCAACAACCATGCCACGCTCAAAATTGCTTAAATCGCCTTTCTTTCCTATTCTGACATTCAGTTTGGAGTTCAGGAGATTGTCTTGACCAGGACCACACCCCCTAAATGCATTGAAGCAACTGCCATGTGATTGGTTGATTAGATAATTGCATTAATGAGAAATTGAACAGGTGTTCCTAATAATCCTTTAGGTGAGTGTATAACCTACTACTCGGTCATTTTAGGCATTTAGTAAATTGCATATATATATATATATATATATATATATATATATATATATATATATATATATGTGTGTGTGTAAGAATTTTATATTTATTTTTTAATATTGAATTGAGTTTTTTTTATGTGTACTAAATGTAATATAAAGTAAGTTAAATTGTGTTACGATATTAGAATGTTATGGTGTCTTGTGTACATTGTTGCATTTCTTTAGACCTACCTATAACCGATTATCTTTGACAAAATGAAAACCCACGATGCTTTAAAAATTAATATATTAGTATCAAATAGCTAGGGATAATCCATGGCTATGTGTACAATACATGATATTGATGCATAATTTGGAGGCAAAAAAAAAACGTGTTAACACAAAAGCTCAATGCACAATCTTTTTACTCTTTTAAATCCTTTTATAACTGTATCATATATCTCTTTTAATTTCATTTATAACTGTTTTAATTTTCCTTGCTTTTATTTTGTGATTATTTTAATTCCTTTCTGTAAAGCACTGATTTGCCATAATGTATGAAATGTGCTATATAAATAAACTTGTCTTGCCCTTACAAGCTTTCGTGTTTGCCATATGTTATGTGTTCAATATATGGTTGTAACTCTAAACCTCCCAGGTTATATCCTAATTTGTGTTTCGAAGATTGGAACGACATGAGTATGAGTAACTAAGAATTATTATTTGTTTATTTTTTTGTGAACTAAGTGTCCAAACTTTTAACTTACATATTTTACAATGGAGCACAAACGTACTACAAACGTGTGAGTTGAGTTAGTACACACCATTTGAACTGCAGGCTCGGGCATCTTATCTGTTGGCTACTGTTAAGGAATTATTTGATAAATTATTAAGCAATCTTGATACATATAATACATAAAATACAAATATTTGTCTAGATGTATACTTATGAATTGTATACCACATCATTTTAGGCATTTTGTAAATTACACTAATTGGACTTTTAAGTGTTGTTTTGAGAGCAGTTTTTGATTTTTTGCAAGCAAATGGAACTGAGCACAATATTATTGATTTAGAATAAAGTCACTTCAGAAGACAACAAATTCCACAAATAAGCATGAAAGTGTTTTCTGGGACGAGTTTTCAGGCAGGAAGTGAAAGGCTCTTATTCAAAACAGAAGTCAGTGCTTTAAATTGTCAACCACTAGGGATCAGTGTTGCCACATTTATTCCGCTTTGCTTTAGTTTTGATCATTGGCCTCTTCAACCAGATTCACAATCCAACATTAAAACAATCCTGTTTTAACAATATAGTGTCATATTTTTATTTTCATTTTTTAAATGGAAAAAAAGTCCTCTGTGTAAAGACAAAACGTTAATATGAACATAAGTGGAATATTTGTGCCATATTCCCATAATGAGTTTTTTAAACGCACTAGATGGCGATGTGATAAATGCTCGCCAGTCAGCCGGCTCGGCAAAAGGCTACATCACATTTAATCCAAATATTTTATGCTAAAATGTAGCCTACTCAAATTGCTGACAAAGATGTGGTAAATAGAATTAAGAAAACAAAAGACATGTGCCATCGTTGTTTACAAAGCAAACAAACAGCTCAACACTTTGTTTCTACACCTGCACTGACTCTGGATGTAAGAAGGGTGAGTAGTTGTTCCCATACAGTTATTTTAAAAAAAACTTGTGTGTAAAGGCTTTATGCATTCAGGACTATAAATGTGTCAAATGTTCAGCGAGTGAAACACCTGGTATTGATTTCATAACAACTTTGTCGAAGTAATATAAAAAAATTTAGAAATATAAAAATAGTTTGAAACCTCAAATATATATTTTATAGAATAGTGGTTGCCCAAGGCAATGGGGTTTTTAATGTTTCATGAATATTCATAATGAAAATACATAATTGATATTTGTACTGTTCTATCCACAGTATACTTGAATGGAACATTTAAATGGTTATAGATGGGGCCGGGACTCGATTAAAAAAAAAAATCTAATTAATTAGCGGCTTTGTAATTAATTAATCGAAATTAATCGTAAGTGACTTGTTTTTAGTAGGCCTAGTGGCCTACCTTAAAGGGATGTTCACCCAAAAATGGAAATTCTGTCATCATTTACTCACCTGTATATGAGTTTCTTTGTTCTGTTTAACACAAAAGAAGATAATTTAAAAAAATGTTGATAATTGGAAAAAAAAAATACAACTAGAAAATACTGTCAACTGTCTGCAACATTTTATAAAATATCTTCTTTTGTGTTCAACAGAAGAAAGAATCTCATACAGTTTTGGAACAACACGAGAGTGAGTAAATAATGACAAAATTGTAATTTTTGGGCAAACTATCCCTTTAAATAGGTAGATTAATTGTGTGGCTTCCCCATGATGCACACAATCAAAATAATTGTTGCATATTATGTAGGTTTAGGAATAGTGTGTACAACATCTGGCCAGTCTGGGGTGTTACTAAAATAAAATGTTTGACACTTAAATGTGTCATGAGCCCTCATAGAAGGAGAGGAACAACGTTACATTCAGTGACGCTGTTCCAGTTCCAGAGAGACCATATAGAATTGCCATGGTGATGTATGGAAGTATTTTGCAGCCATGGTGATGGCTATATAATGCATGTATTTTATATAGCCATGGTGAAATTAAATGAAAAGAAAAAAAGCTTTAGACTCTCAGCTCCATCGCAGTTTAGTTTTTTATGATGCAAATCACACTGACAAAGAAGCATTTCAGATGCAAAACATAAATTGATTAATTGAATTATTTCAGAGGTTTAAATTTAAAGGAAATGAATGAAGCTCTCAGAATCTCTCAGGAGGACTTCTGAATATTCAGGAAAGAACCTTGTGATAACTTGGATTTTAAGGACATTTTTTATTTGTTTGCAGGTGTTTGTGTTCTTTTTTTAATTTGGGAAAAATTAAATGAATCTTGACCAACTGAAAAAAAAAACATCATTCATAACAATTTCAGCATGTTGCATGAATTGAATATATCATTGAACAGCAAAAAAATCAGACAAAATAGTAAACATTTACATTTGGCTTACATGTCCCATGACCAAAAGTAGAAGGAAAACAAAAAAAAGAAATTTATTTCAAACAGACTGCCCAATTAACCAATTACCAGGCCTAATTGCAGTCTCCTGAGGAGAGGTTAAGGAGAGAGAGCAGAGACTCTCTCGTTCTCCGCCACCATGCCCGAGGCCTAATCAAGTTATCATATCAACAAATCTCTCATCAGGGGCCCATGTCTGACAGCAGCAAAAAGAGAGGCCATTCGACGCCTAATTTCCAGCAGCAGGGCGCTGGGTCTCGCCTGCC